GTGGGACTAAAAAAAAAAGAGGAAGAAAAGCTAAAACAATTTAAGAAATTTTTTTTAGGGCGGTGGAGATGGTGGAGGTGGAAGCGGAGATGGTGGTGGCAAATTGAGGTTGAAGGAGGCAACAGTAAAAAAAAATAAAGGTTAGGGATTTTCACTCTCTTAGAAAATAATGTATTACACATGTTGTGCTATGTCAGCAATGTATGTTCAATTGCACATTATAATTTGAGCTGAGATGTCTAATAGGTACACCTTTTAGCTCAAGTGTCTAAATGGAAAAAATGACAAGTTTAAAGGGTTGCATATGTATTTAGTCTTTTGAGTAAGGAAAGCGGTATTCGACCTAATCAAATAAAAACTTTACAAAAATTACAATAGGAAAATTTCATATAAAAATAATTGGGCTCCCTACTTTTCAAGTTTATAGCACATATTTTACTTTACAACCAGCTAGCCCAAAAATAATAGGCTAAGATTCAACATCCAACTCCAATAGGTTCTCAAAATTACTATTTAATTTTTAAAAAAGATTGCTCAAGCTTTGAAGTTAATTTTCGAATCAGTAACTGTGACTCAAATATTAGTTGAACAAAAATCCATTTGGCGGTAAAAATTAGATTTTTAAGAAGCTTAAATATGTGGATTAAAATTTCGAATTTGGTTTCTGAGAAATTTGGAGTAGGTGTTATCTAGACTTGTTAGAAATAGTATAAGGAGGTTGTATATAAAATTTGAAGTCATTTAATGGAGATTTGGAATGGTTTTGAACAAGAATTGCAACTGAAATTCGTGAAAAAGTTCGTCTACAGATGCTTGTATAAAGGTGTATAATAGTGTATAAGATGTGTTGATACAATCATATACACTATTATACAAGATTATATATAATTATACAAAAAACTAACTTCGTCTTCTCCCTTGCGTCTTTATGAAATTTAACTCAAATCTTGCTCAAATATACTCCGAATCACTTTAAATTTAAATTTTGAAATCCTTTTGATATTTTCAATCAATTGGAACAACACCCAATCCAAACAACTAACAAACTCAAAAAATTCTATTTTCGAAAGCAAAGCTTTGAATGGCCTTCAATGGTGGACTTTTGCTCTTTAATTTTTTTACATTGCAACCAAGTGACAACAGGGGGAGAAGCAGTAATGGCGAACGGGCCCTAGCACATGTAAAACGCAAAAGGATCATAATTGCCAGTGAACTATGCGAATTAGGACAGATATGCCCGTCGTTGATAGTTTGACACATATATGACCAATCCGTCCAATACTTACTCATTCATGCCCTTAGTTTAACGGAATCACTATTTTGTCTTTCTTAAATAATTAATAACCGGACCCAATCAAAAATAATATTTTGTAATTGAAAATATGAAAAACATACTCAAAGATTTTTTTTTAGTTTAACTCCTCAAATATTAATAATGTCATAGAAGAAGTAACAGTTTGATATAAAATGAGTAAGAGATCATTAATTTTTCTTTTCCGTGTTGCTGCTTGTTTGACAACTAATATTATTGACAATTCATGACAGCAAAAATATTTCAATTAATGATTGATGACCGAGAAAACAATGACACTTATGGCACCTGTTGGATCTAATATCAAAGATGATGGAGCAGAAAAAATAAAAATATAAAAGTGGAAAAGAAGCATCACTGTTTTAACAATTTATTAATTATTTCATAAGAAATTTGTAATGCAGAAAATAATCCAATAAACTAATAATCAATCATATAATGATCGCTTATCTAAAAAAAAAAAAAAAACGGATCCATCAAGTTAAGTTATAGTGAACATGGAGTTATTTGTATTTGTATTGGTGAAAAATACAAATAGATTGTGAAAAAAATAAAAAAAGATGGTAAAATGATTGAAGAAAGCACAAAATAATTCGAATATTATATTATTAAAATCATTAATAAATATCAATTAGTACTTTAAGTAGGATTACTTCCCGAAATGATGTATAACACAAAAAAAAAATCGACAAATTATTTAAATAAATAAATATGATTATCACACAATTTCTCAATCAAATAAAAATAATATATCAAAAAATATCTTTGAACTAAGGGTGTGTCAGGTCTTAACGGGTCGGGTCAACAGATTTTGGTTGAGTCCGGTTATTAATTATTTAAGAAAGACAAAATAGTGATTCCGTTAAACTAAGGGCATGAATGAGCAAGTATTGGGCATATCTATGCCAAACTATTAACAACGGGCATATCTGTCCTAATTCACATAGTTTGCTGGCATATATGGCCCTTTTCCGTATGTAAAAGATGTGAGAAGAAGAGAGAGTGAAGGCAATAGCTGTGAGAACACAAATTTAACTCCATACCTTTTAGAAGCAATGATTGTAAGAACACATATTACGAATATGCAAGAGCTAATGTCTTTAAAATATATACAATATAGGCTAGGTCGGGTAAAGCTTAAAAACATGTGCCATTTTCTGTTACGGTGTGAAGTCATGTATATTTTCTTGTAATTCTTTCTTTTATTTTTGCTTAAAAAACTTACAATCTCAAACAAATTACACATGAACAATGTTAACGTGCCCAAAGTTACATAGTAATTTGTTTATGTCATGAGGTGTAATAAAATGCATCAGAAAGCATAACTAAATTTGTTTTAGGCACATCTTCTAAAATCTGCTTATTTTGAAAAACACTTTTTTCAAAAGTGTTTTTTCGAAAAAGTTTTTTTAACGAGAAATAATTTATATTTAACTAATTAATTTGAAAATTATTTTTGAGCAATAATTAATATTTGGCCGAACTTTTAAAAAATTAAGTATATATTTTTCAAAAATATTTTTTTTAAAAATACTTTTGAAAAGAAACTCCTTTTTACTGCTTCTATTCAAAAATAATTCTTTTTTATTTTCCTTTAAAAAATTTGGCCAAACAAAAATATACTTTTGACTTTTGGAAAAAAAGAGGGTGAAAATCATTTACCCTCCCCAACTTTGTGTTACAAATCAAACTCCCCCCTCAACTTTGAACAATAATCATTCTTCCCCCTTTATCCTACACAATACCTTTTTTGCCCTTGAATTTTTAATTTCCTCCTCAATTCAATACTTTTTTCTTATATGATATATTTTTTTTTTATGGTTTTAGCTATAACTTAAATTATGTAATATCTATTATGAGTTGTAATTAGAGTTCATTAAAATTATAAGTAGAATAAGTAATCAAAATCAATTAAAATTACCTTATCTTTATGGTTGTTATTTAATGTAATGCATATTAAATATATATATTTAAGTTATATTTTCTTAGCGACGTAGCTAGAAATTCATATAAGAGGACTGAAAAATACCCCAATTTTTTTTATTTCGAATTAAACTTGTGAGCTAAGATAACTTGGGGTATTTTTCAATCCTCTTATATGAAAAACTTGGATTGAACTTGTGAGCTAAGAAATTAAAATTTGTGAGCTAAGAGTATANAATCCGAAAAAAAGTTGGGGTGTTTTTCAATCCTCTTATATGAATTTCTAGCTCCGTCGCTAAGAAAATATAGCTTAAATATATATTTAATATGCATTACATTAAAATAAGGCAGAATGGCAAACTTCACTTGTTTTCATCCAGACACTTGAACTTGATCAAAGCCTATTATTTGAACCCCTCTGACCGTTGACCAAGCACATGTGGCAAAATAATGGTTGAGCTGGACAAAGTGGGTGTAATTCACGCAGAAAATGAGCGTGAATATGAGCATTTTGAACCAGAAATAATTAAAATAAGAAGAAAAAATCGTTAAAATAAGAATGAAAAATAAAATAAGTATAAAAAAAAAAGCAAACGGGTAGGTCCAAATAACTGAAGCTAACGGGTAGATCCAAATAAGTAATCCCTTCTTCCCCATATCCACCTTTCTCTTTATCCTTATTACTCATATCATTCAAGAATTTGTACCAGAAAAACCTCTGAAAGCTCAAGACTTCCAAACTTCCGTCATGTGTTACTGAAATCTAGCCAGATCTAGATCCACAAAATAACAGTACTAACAATAGGGAAATTAAAAGGAAAAGAAATAATTCATATCCCCTTCAGGGACCAAACCACCATTAAGCGGGTAATTCCATGAGATTCTTGCGGAGCTGGATCGAGAGCGGCAAGCTCGAGTACCCGAATAGAATTCTAAATCGGAATTGCAAATTTAACAGATTGAGAGTTCTCGCTCATGAAGCAATCAAAAAGCGCGATGAGCACTCGAGACAACGCAATGAAGCATTTACGAGAAAAGGAAGAATTTTTGAAATCAGTGAAAAAAGCGAAAGAATCAATGAGAACTGAGATGGAAACTTCTAGTTCAATGTTAGGTATCTAGCGGACCTAAGTCGCCGCCTTCATCAGAGACCAAACCACCATTAAGCGGGTAAGTGTAAAATGAGGGGAAAATTTGGGTTTAAGGGGGTTAATAATCATATCCTGTTTATTTTCCTATGTGGCCATAATAAATGACTTGGAGCCTACGTGGTTTAATTTTCTTGATGTGGCGTCCTACGTGTAGGAGATTGTATTATACGCACTGGCAGCCTCGTGTCATAAGCGTTTATTACACACGGTTTGAAGGAGTGCAAGTGTTCAATTGGCAAATTGTTAAGTTTGGGGACCGGCATGACAAAGTGGGACAAGTATAAGTGCCATTTAGGCTATTCCGCCTTAAAATAACAATCATAAAGATAAGTTTTAATTGACTCTAATTACTTATTCTACTTATAATTTTAATGAACTCTAATTACAATTTATAATAGGTATTACATAATTTAAGTTATTGCTAAAACCATAAAAAAAAATATATTATATAATAAAAAAGTATTGAATTGAGGAGGAAATTAAAAGTTCAAGGGCAAAAAAGGTATTGTGTAGGATAAAGGGGGAAGAATGATTATTGTTCAAAGTTGAGCGAGGAGTTTGATTTTTAACACAAAGTTGGGGAGGTAAATGATTTTCACCCAAAAAAAAGAACTTGGCCAAAAAGCGAGACATATTGAACCCTTAGCTAGTTGAATTGAACTAAAAGATGGCGGAGAATCCTCCTAGAAAATTGGGTGAGGATGGAGGAGCAGAAGATTACTACGATTCTGATGATGATCTTATTATGTATGCGGACGGTCGCAGAATGAGTATCCAACTTCAGAAAGAGTATCACAGGCAGGTCAGGGAGAGCGAGGTAGGTCCTATGCTAGTATCAAATATGCATGCTTTTTTGAGGCGTCTCTTTTTTGATTTGTCCTTTCTGCAATTAGGGTTTTGATATCACTCTGGATTTGACTTTGGATGCTGCTATTGGTGCTCCAGTTATTCCCCAACGGGGTAAGGAGAACAAACCCAAATTTGTTGACCTCTCCCAGTTAGCTATTGAAGATTTCAATTCACAGAATGTAAGTGCGTGCTTAATTAACTGATTCATTCTTTTTCTGAAAAATTATGTTCTGCGATTGGTTGATGTTTGGTGGAAAATTATCCAATACTTTCCAAGCAAAATCAATCGAAATAATTCAAGGGGTAAATCATAGCCAATCGTAGTTAATCACTGAATTAAAAGACAAACTTGAGACATAGGGGTAATCAGTTATGGAACGATATAAACAAGGTTTTATTCATCAAGGTAGCTTGACCTGCCTCTCCTTGAAGAGGTTCAGGATCTTACATTGATCTTGTTTATTGCTCCACTTATGGAGTATATCTTTCTATTTCTGGTGTATTCAGAGTTGTGTAGAAGAAGAAGCTCCCCTTGAGAGGTTCTCTCTTGGTTTTTATAGCTTCAAGCTTTTTTTGCTGGTCACGAATGGGCCCCTCTTTTGGTCGTGGAGACGTCCCTTTATTTACCTTAAGGACAGCCGTCATAAGTCAAAAATCAACAGCGTCGACTATTTACCATAAATTGGTCGTGATGGGGTCGAATTTCTACCAATACAATTAGTCCCTCCGTTCATCGAGGTCGTGCCCGGGTCGACTTCGGCGGACGGATAGAGCGACGTGATCGGGAAGGGCACTCCGAAATGAAGTTTCGGAACTGAACCGTTGGTTGGTGAGTGAAGCGTCATCCTGCGCGGTCGTTCGTATTGGCGCACATTTTCACAAAACTGAATCGCTTCGTGCCCGGTTATGCATTAATGGCGATCGTTGGGTTCCGTGCAGGCAGAATCTGTTATTTATAACTAGAGAAGATGTGTCATTTTGTTCTTTACATATTCATTGTTCTTCTAAGAGAGTTCTCGAGAAGCCTTTTCTTCTGTCAAATCGCATTTTCCCTATTCTTCCGATCATTATCATCATTGATTTCTCCGTTTCCCTTGTCAAAGTTCTTCTTTCTCTCGCTCGTGAATCAATTATGGCAGGCACTTCTTCTTGCGCCAATCGTCCGGCTAATTCTCCGGTGGTCGAAAATCCCGCTCCGGCAAATGAAAGGTTAGAGTTGGTGGAAGGTGAAGAAATTCCTTCGGTCGATGAAATTCTACCTCGACCAAGAGATCAAGTGATGGATTTCAGCGCACCGGGCGGCGTGGAACAAGGGGGCATTGCTTCTCTGGGGGAAGTGGGGATAGCCCAAATGCGGGAGCGATGGCGTATCCCACGTTATGTCGAGATTGCTCTTGCAAAGATCGAGGATAGGGTGCAGATTGACCGTTGAGGGTATTGCTCGTTCTATGCTTATCCTTTCCAGGTAGGGTACACACTCCTGCTCCCGATGCTGATAGTAGACTTCTGCCGCTATTACGAGGTATGTCCGGCCCAACTTTCTCCTTACCTCTACAAGCTGCTTCTCATGTTCATCAAGTATGCGGAGCTAGCGAGTAGGGAGGTCACTCTAAGGCATGTGCTCAGTCTCTTCGCTCCCCAAAAAATCCGCGGCACCATGATCCATGCATGCCTACAAGGATCGAAGGGCTTGATGGTTGGGCTGGACGACGAGGTCATTCGTCATTCCTTTGAGAACTTTTTCTATATTCGGACTGAACACCTGGTGGCGGACCCAAACGGATTCCCGGAAGTTTGGAACTTTGCACGTGAGACCTCGTTCCTGACTGGGTATACGCCCTATTTCGACTTTCCTTATGCTTTGTACTTATGGTTATTGATTTACCTTAATATTTTGTAGCTGAAAAGTTGCCGCCGCCTCCTTTGGAGGGGATCCGAGACTGGGTCGAGGTAGTGCTTCCTCGTACTGCGGGCATTCGCACCTGGGCGGCTTTCTGGCAGAGGCATGGTCGCAGGCCCGTGACAGGTGGAATTTCGGCCCTTTCTCTTTTCTATTTTGTGTTGTTCTGACTGCGCTTATTGATTCGTTTGTTCATTGTATCTAGAGAGACCACGTCGTGTCAAAGCTCCTCAATTGGCTTTCCGTCGGGGCCGGGTGCAATTGCCAGGCTAGCTGCTGTGCCTGTGCCTCGTCCAGTACCGAGGGCGGCATCGGTTGAATCGTCAGCGGTCGCGTCCCCAACGCGGGCTACGCCTCAAGATGAGGGACCGTCCGAGCTTGTCCGTTCTCGGACGGGCTCGCCTTCAAATGAGGAGGAGGATAGGCCTTCGCAGAAGCGGCGAGTGGCATTGGTGGCGGCTCCTCCGTCGGTGATCAACTTGGATTCTCCCCCGACGGATTCGGAGGGTGGTGCGGCTGTGGCGCTTGCTGTCGAGTAGAGGGAGTTAGTCGGAGTTGAACCCGTTAGTTCTAGCCACGGGAATGTCGTTGTCTTGACGACCCCGTCCGATGTTCCTGTTGCCGAGGCGGAGGGTCGATCCTTACAGGCCGCCGTCGGGACTTCTGATGTACCATTGTTGGCCATGGCAAGTTGCTCTACATCAACGGCGGCGGAGAGGGGAAAGGACGTGGTGGAGGACGAGTATGAGTTTGAGTCCGATTTGGACCCCGACGATGTTCGTATGTTCGAGGAGGGTATTACCAATTCTACGGTGCACGCAGGGGGTCGGCCCGTTTATTGAGGTTCCCTCGGATTTGAACTTATTAACTGAAGGAAATAGCTTGGTGTCGCAGTTTGAGTTGTTATGTTCGGAGGCCGAGAACGCGTCTTTGAGGAGCGTTTCGAATATTGAAGTGATGGACGAAGTGGCCGTGATGGGCCTGAGGGTACGTAGTACGTTCCTAGTTTTTTCTCTCTTTTTTTTAGCCTTTGCCTTAGCTTTACCTTCCCTTTGTTTTGCAGACTTACTTGTTGGAGGTGGAGAACATCCGCATAGCCAAGATTCGTTCGAGGATCTTCCTGCAGATGCTGGGGAAATATCGCCGTTACCATGATCGGTGCCGAGGGCTGCACGAGCGTTTACGGAACGATCCCGGTAATCGGGCTTTGGGCGAGGAGTTGGCGAGGCGGGATCAGCAGCTGTTGCAGGCGCTTGGCAGTAAACGTGCTCTTGAATAGCACATTCGTCGGAAGGACGAGGAGCTTGAGGTGGGAAAAGGAATTGTAGCTGAGTGTGCGCACCTGCAGGGCAGGTTGAGGGAGATGGAGCTGGAGGCGGAGCAGAACCGGGTCAAGGCAGCGGAGGCGGCTGCGGAATGGAGCGGGAAACTGGCGGCGCTGGAAGGCGAGGTTGCTGCCTTAAAATTTCTGGAACGGGGTGCCTCGTCGAGGGCCGTGGCGTTGGAGGCGTCGATTCGCGTGCATGAGTCCCGGCTTGAGTCGGAGAGGGAGACAGCGACCCTTAGAGAGGCGGGGCTCAAGGAACGGATTGGTGTTCTTGAGTAGGAGGCCCAGGTCATGTTGGACCGAATTGCGATTTTGGAGGAGGAGAACCGGCGACTGCAGAATCAAGCTGGTTTGTCGCATACTGCCGTTTCCCACCAGGTTCATGAACTTTGGGTTTACGCCGAAGCTTAACGCGATGTCTACAAGAACTTGTTGGAGGCGGGTATTGTGACCGAGGCCGTCTTCGAGGTGGCACGCCAGAAGGCTCGTGAAGCTCGTGCCGACTGTGGTTATGATGTGGCGACACCTGAGGCTGACGATGGCGCGAGTGGCGGCGATGGTAACGGCGGTGGTGGCGCCGAGTAAAGAAAAGATTTGTTATCGCTGTTTGTTGTTTGTTGTTTTTTTTTTGTATTTTTCTTTCTTGTATTGACCGGCCGGGGCCGGATGTAAGCGGGGAGTACCCGCGCTCTTAACTCTGTAGACAATTGCACTCTTTTTTCCATCGGTTGTCTTGCGCTTTATTCTGTCTTCCGTTCCTCTCCTTTTCTTTATTGAATACGTTTGGAGGGACGACCAACCCTTGAATTCGACCGAGGCCGTCATGTCAGTTTTGGATCGATTATGATGGCTCTTTGGCCTGACATGAACGGGGAGGGGCGGTCGTCTTGTAGTGACGGCAATTAGTTTTTCCTCGCCCTAGACCTAGTGCGGCTGAGGTCGCATCCGATCAACTTCGAGGGCGAAGGCACTTAACCTGAGTCCTAGTTCGAGCGAGACTGAACCTAACAACTTTGATAGCGAAGGCCCTTAGCCTGAGCCCAAGTTCCATGGCGAAGGCACTTAGCCTGTGTTCTAGTTCGACTGAGGTCGAGCCTAATAAATTTGATGGCGAAGGCACTTAGCCTGAGTCCCGGTTCGACTGAGGTCGAACATGATAAGTTCGATGGCGAAGGCACTTAGCCTGAGTCCCGGTTGGACTGAGATCGAACTTGATATATTTTGATGGCGAAGGCGCTTAGCCTGAGTCCCGGTTCGACTGAGGTCGAACCTGATATATTTTGATGGCGAAGGCGCTAGGCCTGAGTTCCGGTTCGACTGAGGTCGAACCTGATGTATTTGATGGCGAAGGCACTTAGCCTGAGTCCCGGTTCGACTGAGGTCGAACTTGATATATTTTGATGGCGAAGGCGCTAGGCCTGAGTCACGGTTCGACTGAGGTCGAACCTGATGTATTTGATGGCGAAGGCGCTTAGCCCGAGTCCCGGTTCGACTGAGGTCGAACCTGATATATTTTGATGGCGAAGGCGCTTAGCCTGAGTCCCGGTTCGACTGAGATCGAAACTGATGTATTTGATGGCGAAGGCACTTAGCCTTAGTCCCGATTCGACTGAGGTCGAACCTGATATATTTTGATGGCGAAGGCGCTAGGCCTGAGTTCCGGTTCGACTGAGGTCGATCCTGATGCATTTGATGGCGAAGGCACTTGGCTTGAGTCCCGGTTCGACTGAGGTCGAACCTGATATATTTTGATGGCGAAGGCGCTTAGCCTGAGTCCCGGTTCGACTGGGTCGAACCTGATGTATTTGATGGCGAAGGCACTTAGCCTGAGTCCCGGTTCGACTGAGGTCGAACCTGATATATTTTGATGGCGAAGGCACTTAGCCTGAGTCCCGGTTCGACTGAGGTCGAACCTGATATATTTTGATGGCGAAGGCGCTAGGCCTGAGTCCCGGTTCGACTGAGGTCGAACCTGATATATTCTTATGGCAAAGGCGCTTAGCCTGAGTCCCGGTTCGACTGAGGTCAAACCTCATATATTCTGATGGCGAAGGCGCTTAGCTTGAGTCCCGATTCGACTAAGATCGAACCTGATATATTTTGATGGCGAAGGCACTCAGCCTGAGTCCCGGTTCGACTGAGGTCGAACCTGATGTATTTGATTGCGAAGGCACTTAGCTTGAGTCCCGGTTCGACTGAGGTCGAACCTGATGTATTTGATGGCGAAGGCACTTAGCCCGAGTCTCGGTTCGCCTGAGGTTGAACTTGATATATTTTGATGGCGTAGGCGCTAGGCCAGAGTTCCGGTTCGACTGAGGTCGATCGTGATGTGTTTGATGGCGAAGGCACTTAGCCTGAGTCCCGGTTCGACTGAGGTCGAACATGATGTATTTGATGGCGAAGGCACTTAGCCCGAGTCCCGGTTCGACTGAGGTCGGTCCTGATGCATTTGATGGCGAAGACGCTTAGCCTGAGTCCCGGTTCGACTGAGCCTGATATATTTTGATGGCGAAGGCGCTAGGCCTAAGTTCCGGTTCGACTGAGGTCGAACTGATGCATTTGATGGCGAAGGTACTTAGCCTGAGTTAGGGTTCTGGCTTGAGACAACCCTGTGCCGGTTTCCGGCCTGACACCGCGTTAGGGGTGAAGGAAATGCCTCATACTTTCGTTCTGAGGGAGGGGGGGGGGGGGACTTCTTCTTCTTGTCTGGTTGTTTTCGGATCTCAGTTTCCTTTGATGCATTCGAGTATTATGCGCTCGATATGCTTCCTTTGGTCCGTTTGAGTTGGATCGCTTTCTCGTTATTTTTTTTTTTAACGTTCCTTTGGCTTCGATTCCAGGGAGAAACTATGTGATTTCGCTAGGAAATCCCCACAGACGGCACCAAATTGTTTGGTGGAAAATTATCGAATACTTTCCAAGCAAATCAATCGAAATAACTCAAGGGGTAAATCATAGCCAATTGTAGTTAATCACTGAATTAAAAGACAAACTTGAGACATAGGGGTAATCAGTTATGGAACGATATAAATAGGGTTTTATTCATCAAGGTAGCTTGACCTGCCTCTCCTTGAAGAGGTTCAGGATCTTACATTGATCTTGTTTATTGCTCCACTTATGGAGTATATCTTTTTATTTTGGTGTATTCAGAGTTGTGTAGAAGAAGAAGCCCCCTTTGAGAGGTTCTCTTTCTTGGTTTTTATAGCTTCAAGCTTTTTCAGCTGGTCACGAATGGGCCCCTCTTTTGGTCGTGGAGACGTCCCTTTATTTACCTTAAGGACAGCCGTCGTAAGTCAAAAATCAACAGCGTCGACCATTTACCATAAATTGGTCGTGATGGGGTCGAATTTCTACCAATACAGTTGATATTTGGCTGTTTTTATTTTATTTTATTTAGGCTACAAAATACGAATTTGTGAAAAATGTGACTGTGAACACATCATATGCTGCTGGGATGTGGTGTTATATCACCTTTCAAGCCAGGGATGCTGATGATACCATAAAGACCTTTCAAGCATTGGCGTGGTGGGGAATTGACGGAGATAGAGATGTGAAATTTTGCAGGTTTAAGAAATCATCCAAGTGATGAAGGTAAGCTATTTTAATATGCATCTTCTCTCTTGTTACTTACATTGTTTATACATTACTACGTGCTTATGGTAAGTGTGCTTGTACAATTCGTTGATTTATGCATACGCATAGTGCTACACGACAAATACAACTAGGACTCAATTTCAGGTCTGTGGTATGAAGCCTCACTATCCATTTCGCTCCATTTGGACTCGTTATATTCCAATATGCCCATGTATATTAGTAATGCTGGTAAAACCTCTGTTGCTATTATTGTGTGCGCTGGCCAGCAACTTCCATTAAAATAAATATTGCACCTCAAAACCTCATTGCTAGCTTCATCCAACATCAGGCATTGTTCCCGTATTGTTAAATGAGTGAATGAACGGAAAAAGATGCATTTTGAGGTCTTTATTTTATTTAGCAACGAGATGTTGTATAATTCACTTTAAGAGCATCCCTGCCTTTATGGTTGAGTAAGGTTTATGATATAAAAGGGGAAGCATCATATACAAGGTATTTTGAGAATAGAACGTGTTGGACAAAAGGTAGCTTTCTGAATTGAGTATCGAGTTATCTAAATCATTATTCTCTTCCTAGTAAACAAGTAGTGGTTCTCACTTTTTATTTTCTCGAGGACAATTAACTAGGTAATATATTTGAGGTTTTCATTTGAGAAATTAGTGGAATAAGGCTGCACCGTAGTTGATCCACATCTACATTGCAAAAGAAATGATTTTGGTGAGCAATAGGAGTCCAACTCCTCACTTTGAAATTATTAACAACCTCTAAACCTGATCCAGATAACTTTGTTGACCATGAGACATAGTACTTGTGCAATGAGAAGGGGATGTAGTCTCTGTCTAAATGATTAGGGTATATACCTTGCAGATTGCAGAAGACTAGTCAATAACATGAGGGTAGAGAACTTGACATTGTTTACACTTAAGTAGTATGCTTCTGCTTGAGATCTCACACACGTGAAAAAGAATATACAAGAAGAAGCATGTTGTTGATGGTTGCCTAACAACAAACCTATGCCTATGCGTTTGCAAAATAACTATTGTGAATTGGAGCATGATATTGGATATATTTGAGGTGAAATGCCCGAGGACAACAAGGAGGGTTTGCAAAGCCAGAACAAAGCTAGAATAGAGAACTTAGCAAAAGATCAAAAAGTATTGAAATTACTTTCCTTCAAAACAGATGTGCACTGAGACTAAGACAAATGTATTTCTTCGCTAACTTTTTTATAATAACATGGTGAAACCGTGAAAGTAACTGTTGTTGATACCATGTTGAACTTTCTCAGTGCACTTCAGGGCTAATAGAGGAATTGAGCATTTGCTCTCTGTAATATACATGCAGCAGCCTCCTAACACCTACATGTTGCTGAGATATCTTAACAGAGTAATACTTGTCAAAAATTTCCTAACAGACATTATAATATACCTTACATACCTTTTCAATGTCAAGTTTGTATAGAACTCTGAGGTGTCACTACTGATTCACCAGTGGGGGCATTTTTTTTCTGAATTTAAATTTGAGCATTGACATCATGGAAATTATTGTGTGGAAACAATCAATAAGGCTTAAAGATACGAATTATAATATTTGAAGCTCCATTCTTCTAGGAGTAGACAAAAAGAAAACTTGTGCTGATAAAGGAGATGAATGAGTTGTCATAAAGTCATTTTTCAAGTGTTCCAACAGGCAATTGATGATCCTTTTCTTTGGAAATGAGGTTTCTAGCTGAGAGGTATCAAGAGACAGGTCTTTTCCAAATCTTTAATGGGTGTTCTTCAATTCTTTCATAGGTTCTCATAAAAGGACGTGATAGCATCTTCATCTAAAAAGAAAGAGATGATTGTGTTTCAAATTGGTTTACCCTCATACTTCATACTCATTGAAAAATTAACCATTCATGTAGATTTTTTCAATGGGATTATACCTTTTGTGAGCATTACCTATCCTGAGGAAATTTTGGTTTCTTCTTTAGAGCAAAAAGAAGGAAGCAATAATACTCTATTTTCTAATGTCATTTGATTTAAAATGTTGGTTAATCGCCTTATAGATCATCCTCTAAGATTATTTTCTTTGCAAGAAGTTTATTCTCGTTGGACCAGAATGTTTTCTATATCTTTCTCATCTGAGCTTGTTCAAAATGATTTTGCTGACTTAGTCCGAATATGAGGTAGCTAGTCGGAAAACACTATGTTATTTCTGGAATATTATGCCACCTAGTTCTTTTAGAATGTTTGTTGATAGATTCAAGGAGAAGAATAGAAGACGGATTGCCAACAAAAGATTCCAGGAAAAGAAGATTATGTTAAATGGAAAGGAAATAAATTTGGAATATACTTTGTCAAACATGGTACCAGTTCGTGAAGAGAATAAAAGACCATTTCTCTCAGTCTAAGCCTTAGAAAATATTTTTTGGAATGTAGGTCACCTCGAAAACTCTCTTGTTTTGGTTGGATTGCTCTTCATGAAGCATTTCTTCCCACAAAGATAATCTGAGAAGAAGTTTATTCAGCTTATGTAATACTCCTTGGTGTTAAATGTGTAAAGAACAAATGAAAGATATTACCACTAGTTCCTACATTGTTCAGTAGGAAATTACTTGTATTTTTATAGTCTGCTTTTTGCAGCTGGCTTGGAAGGAAGATAGAAATGGCATCAAGAGGATTCCGAATGCGATTTCCTGTTGCATTAATTGTAAATTGTGGAGAGATAAGGAAATCATGAGGAATTTGAAGGAGTTTTCAGTTCTCAAATTTAAATTTTTAGCGTGTAGCTTTTTGGTGGGGTTGGGACTCTATATGATTAGATGATATTATGAATTTGGTGGACTACCTTCATTTTTAGCCATCATGTTTGTATTTTGCACTAGTGCTGCGACGTTTTTGCTTTATATAGTATGACTTTGACTTTTAGTCCTCTTTGACCTTTGCGGGGCTAATTAGGCTCCTTGGGTAAAAAAATATTTGGTAGGACAGAAGTTTTCTTTCACATTAAATTATGTTATACCTAAAAAATTCAACTCCCTTCTAATTGCAACTTGTCTTTCGCGAAAGCAAGGTCTGCATTTCTGGTTCAAGGTTTTTGCTCTTTGTAGATTGGAACCGCCAAATTGTTTTGTATATAGACAAGTGATGATGAGAAAATTGATGCTTTAAATTTGTTTTGGGTCAACCCTGCTTTGCCTTTATTTGTTATATATACTTATTATTTTATTTTTGGCAGGTGATAAGAGAACTCGTGATTCCGATGTTGAGGTGAGCTTGCTATCTCTTTAAGCTATTCTCAGTCTTCTACATTTGTAGTTATTATTAAGAGTGTAGTGTTATTACTACGACATGAAAAAAGTGTTTGGGATGTTTCTTCATCGTCTACTCTCCTTCTTTAATGAAGGGCTGTTTGTTATTAATAACACGGGGGGAAAATGTTTTTGATGTTATTCTTCTAATTGTGTTTGATGATGAATGAAGATGCTTTACTATAGTAACTTATTTATTGAGAAAATCTAACAAGTGTTTCGGAAATACTTTCCAAAAAACGTTCTGAAAGTGTAAAGTCAAGAAAGTCTTTGCCAGTGACCAAATTTAATTTTGTACAAAGATTTGTCGTGGCGTACACCACCTGTGATTTCAAATTAAGCATTTCCAACCTTTTTTTTTCTAGCTTAAAGAAATGAGTTCTGATAAAACTAAGATTATAGAGAGAGAAAAGTTTTGAAGTGAAGGGAAAATCGATGTAGTGATTCATTGTGCTATTTCAACAACCGAAAAGGATCAAATATACCCCTCTATTTTCGGATATTATTTGTAGTTATGTTCTGTTATACTATTCGATCAAATATATCCGTACCGTCTAAACTATAAATTAAATATAGTCTTAACTTGACGGAGGGGCCATGTGGAGGGCTTCTAAGCCCCGGCCAATTACCCGTGCTTAATACCCGGTACCCATAACTATTAACCCGACCCTTCCCAAACACCTAAATAACTGAACAAATTCCTATGTCAAAAATTTCCAAAATTAGAAATACGCTCTTTGTGTTTTTTATGTTCATAGTGAACGACTTAAGATCGTTTGGCCATAAAAAAAAGTTACTTTTTTCAGATTTTTTTTTTTGGATCGGTGTTTGACCATAAAAATTCTAAATTTTACTTGAAGTTGAATTTTAGTATTTTTCGAAAATTTGAAATACTTCAAAAAATCATTATTTTTTAAAGATTTTCACTTCAAATCATTCACAAAAATTCAAGAACAACTCCTAATTGTATTCATGTCCAAACACAACTCTAATTATCAAATACTATTTTATTTAAATTTTTTAATACTTTTTTTCGAAATTACAGTTCTTTGTGTCCAAACGCCCACTTAGAATTCATTTTTGAAATTGCAAATCTGGGTGTAAAATTCTAAAACTCGTTGAATATTGTTGTGGAGAATCATTATTCGGAGCCGAAATTCGTGATTGAACATTGTTGGCGAAAAGGAAAAAACAAAGGAGTTTCGACCGCTAGTCAACTCGTCTTTGAGCTTGGTTCAAAACTTTAGATCTAAACTTCTTGGATCAAAATTGACTGTGTAAGTTTTAAATCTGTTGTAAAAGCTTGATAGAACCTGAATCCAAAGTTTGAGTGCATTTGGATCTGATTTAACAAGAACTTGATTGAAAATTTTCGGAACTCTAATCTATGGAGAAGATGCACTGAGTTTCTTGACCTCGTCTATTATTGCTCGAATTGTTTATTGGATTTAGTTCGTATTATTGTAGAGAAGTTGTGGTTAAAATTTGAGTGCATTTTGTGAAGTCTTGGCTGAGTTAGGTCGAACAAATTGGAGTTGACTCAGCGAAGAAAACAACCTGAGCTTCTTTGTATTAATCACTGGGCTTTGTTCGAAATTTGGTTGAGAGTCTTTGGTTACAAATTGAGATCGATTGGAGAAGCTTAGGTTAAGTTCGGATTAAAATTGTGAAGCAACGGTTCGAATAGTTCAATGTCTTGAAGAACCTGTAATTCTCTCAGCAAGATCCGTTATTAGGTATGGGTACTGCGTACTGGGTTGGGGCTTAAAATGGTTTAGGCCTCCTTTGTTTGCACTTAATGGAGGTCTGAATCTTAATCATTCATAGATATTAAGTGCGTTTGTTTTTAAAGTCTGAATTTTAATCATTGAGATCTTAATCATTAAATGTTTTCTTTTTATTTCACAACCACTTAATGGGTCTGAATAGGTCGGTATGATTAAGATCTAAAACAGGGACTTCATTTCATTAAGATGCTATCACATATTCATTATTAACTGCCGCCACCGCCTACCATTATCAACTGCCACTACCAGCACCACCACCATTATCGACCATCACCATCCACAATCCTCACCACTCGGACCACCATCATTTTCACGCACAGTCAACTCTTATCCACAGTTGACATCGCCCATCATTATAACCTACCACCACCTTTCACAATCACAAACCACCACCCAACATTATTAAATATCACCACACACCACCACCATCCTCAATCATAATCGCTACCACTTTCAATCAATACTAGCTACTAGCATGAACCACCATCATCAATCAAAACTACCACCAACCATCGCCTCTAGTCGGCATTCACCCGCTAGCCATCACCACCAACAACTATCATATTTTAAAAAACTATATATTTTATTGATAGAATATTAGATTAGTTAGTATTTCATTTGAATTTTATGTTTATTGTTCAAATAAAGATAAATTTTATGTATTCAGATGTTAAAAATCAAATAGTCTTAATTTTTAGTATTCAGATCTTAATACAAATCTTAATATATTCAGATGTGTATTCACATTCAGATGTCTTAATATTAATACATATCTTGATATTCAGATGTTTATTCAGATTCAGACGTCTTAATCTTAAAAAAAAACAAATGAGGCCTTAGATGCCCTTCATGTGGTCTGTCAAAATTAAGGATATATTTGATTGCTAGTTAGACGACCGGGATATATTTGATCAAATAGTATAACAGGGAACTTTAAACAATATCTAATTGTAGAAGGGCATATTTAACCTTTTTCTGTTTTGTCAACACTTTTTCACAAAAGTACAAAACTTAGTAGGCGTTTGGGCACAAAAATTGTATTTTTTTTTTAAAATAAGTAATATTCAGAGTTAAATTGAACAATGATATTTGGAATTTGAAATTATGTTTGAACATGCATCTAGCTTGAAAAATGTTGCAGTTTTGTGAGTAGGCAAAATAATTTTCTGAAATTTTTGAAAATATCACTTTTTGATTTTCGAAAAACTCATTTTCAAAAACTTGCGAAATTTCATGGACAAACGCATAAAAAAATTGACAAAAAGGAAAAAAAATTATGGACAAACAGAGCCTTAATAGTCCATAAAAATGCTAGGTAATATGTTTTGGTGGAAGAGTTATTTGATATTTGTGCCGGTAATTGATAATAAATTCTTTTTATAATAATTGAGGTGCACGTAAACTGGCACAAATACAAACAAACAAAGCTAGCTTAATTTGAAATTACCATTAGTTTTTTTTAAAATTCTCCGGCAAGATAGACAAGCAGTCATGAAGAATGGGAGAGGGAAAAAAGTTAACTAAGGGTGTGTTTGTGATGTGGAACCCAAGATCAAAAGATTTATGATGTAAATATAGTAAAAAGTGACGCAGGATAATAAGAATTAGTATGGAATTGAAAGATAAAATTACGAAACTTACAAGGAGATTATACCACAAGACTAGAAGCACAAGCAACCATAGATATATTAAATCCACAACCTCAAGAGAATTAATCAAGTAACCTAATCTATCAACTAAGATAGAAGATTACTTACAAGGAGAAATTATCCTTAAAGCAATCAAAGGCAAGTAATTGGTAGAACTTAAGGAGAACTCTCCTAAACTCTCAAAGAGATGAATATATTTCATATCACTAAAAGATATGATCCATACAATGAAAGAGTGGTGGCTATTTATAGAGCCATTTCAACTACTCTTTAGCAAACAACGGTGGCTACATGCAATCTTCAACAATGGAGGCCTTAAAGTCATCCAAGAAATCTTACGGAGGCCTATAAACATAGTCATATCATCTAACTACTTACTGCACTTATTAAATGAGTCCACAAGAACAATTGAATTCAATATTTTCTACCAAGTATGAATGATTGAATCTCTTGTATTGGAAATCCCGACAGATTGGTGCAGTGGAAAGTCTGTATTTTTGTTTAGGAGTGTTGAAATTGCATAATTATTGATTCTGTGAAAATAAGACATATTAGGCTACACTTTCGGTAAGTTTCACAGCTAAATTCATCTTATGCTATTCCACATCAAAATTTGAAGTTGACCAATGAGATACTGTCAAGATTTGTACAACTGTAGCTTATATGGCCATAACTTGATGTAGGAAGCTCCAAATTAAGAACAGTTCGGCTCAGTACAATCTAGACTTCAATATCTTTAATCTTGATGAATTTTGTAGCCCAATTTGATCTATGCTTTAACAGATTAATATTTGAAGTTGGGACAATGTTTGGACAATTTTGTGAATGTTGGATAGCATTAAGTATCATCCCCTTGCTCCAATTCTCCCAAAGTATTCACCAAATGTTGCAACAACAACAACTACTACTACTACCTAGTAAAATCTCACAAAGTGGGGTCTGGAGAGGGTAATGTGTACGCAGACCTTGCCCCTACCCCGATAGGGCAGAGAGGCTGTTTCCGATAGACCCTCGGCTCAGAAAGACGGAAATAAAAAGGACAAGAAAAGATAATTTATTAGTAAATTCAGTAGAAAACGTAATAGTAACAGAAGCAGAACAACCAAGAGATAAATGACATGCAATAATAGTAACCAGTAACTAAGGCCCGGGCTAAGATAAACAGCAAGTTACTAATAAATAGTGTGGATTCAACATAAACTGCAAGCCATCTAAGATCAACTCTAATCCAACCCTGCCTCACCCCCGGTATAAAGTAAGAAAAGCTCTTCTACCCCCTAACCTACGACCCTAATACTTGACATCCAGACCTTCCTATCAAAGGCCATGTCCTCGGAAATATGCAGTCGAACCATGTCCTGCCTGATCACCTCTCCCCAATACTTCTTAGGCCTCCCTCTACCTCTTCTCGTACCCACCACGGCCAACCGCTCACACCTCCTTACTGGAGTATCAAGGCTTCTCCTCCGCACGTGCCCGAACCAT